AATAATCCATGATAAGAAACAAAGGTTGACACCAATTGTTACTGCCCTGTATCTTCCTATATGCACATCAGTTAATAGTCCAATGAGAGGAAACAATATGTATGTACTAAAGGAAATATCTGCAAGAATTTCGATGTGGTGACTGACAGATATGATAATCAAATAAAGCTGAATCATCATCAAATACGTCCAAACAAGCACCATAATAGCAGGGAAAGACATTACAGGAACAACATACACTCTAGCCCTTGAGAGAACCATTACTATACTTCCTTTCTCTTGACCAGAGTTTACATTATCAGTGAATCTACTATTATAGTTAATGCCCTTATATGGAATACAATGTATACTGCCTATAGAGATGGTGGCATAAAGAAGGAATAAGTTATTATTGCAATTTAAATTTAAGTTTTTTTTTCTGTTATTTAACAATGCATTTTATTTTGGAATTTCACTATCATGAGCTGCACATAATTGGTGCAACAATTTCGATCAAAAATTGCCAAAACAAAACTTCACACAATTAAAGTACTTCTTGTTGTATTTTCAAATTCATTGAATTAATAAATTATTGAGTTTAGTTGTATTTTGTAGAGTATTACTGAAAAATAATAAGAGATTAAAAAATGGCTTATCAGAAATATAATAATAATTAAAAATATTGCATGTTTACTGTGCATGTGCTCTGTCAATGCAGGCATAATTATACAAACATGATGTTGATGGACTGTTGATGTTTGCATGCTACATTGAGCCCACAGATCGACTGTGAAATTCAACTAATAATTGTAAATCATAGCTTAGGTTGGGTTTACACAGCAACACAAAACGAATAGTTTTTAAAACGATACACTTTGAACACCACTTTTGTTTCCATAGAGTTCTATCAAGATGTGTAAACCACTAAACCTAGCCTTAGTTTCTAATAAAAATCTAAACTATTATTATAATTATTAAAACTGACAAATCTTTGTGAGAAATTGTGTTTATGCCTTTGTGTAGATGTTTTCTGTCCAGCACTTTATTGCCTTCCAATGACGTCATTAAAGTTAATGTGATACATTCAACAGAAACCACACTCTTGACTGAATCTATAACTGAGGAAGACACTTATAATAAATATCACAATACAGAAAGTGCCCCCCTGTTGTGTGACATGGTGTGTGTGTATGTTGTTATTGATGCATTTATGTACATTTAGTGAATTACACATGTATATTCCTCACTTTTCCATCCTTTTCTAGTTCATTCCATTCATTTATGCTATATACCATAATTCATTCCTTCTATTCATAATCAGTTAATTTTGCTATCGGTCATGATTTATTGTTACATCACTAATTATCAAGTTTGTGTTTATAAATGAA